AGGAAGGAAGGAAGGAAGGAAGGAAGGAAGGAAGGAAGGAAGGAAGGAAGGAAAAAACCCCATCAATCAACCTTGAAATCTTTACCTAGGGAAATTATCCTTCAAAGGTGAAAGGAAAATAAAGACTTTTGCAGACAAAAATTAAGGAAATTTGTCACAAATAGACCTACCCTGCAAGAAATGTTAGAACTTCTTTAGAGAGAAGAAAAATCTTATATATACATCAGAAACTTGGATATACAGAGAAAGAAGGACACTTAGAGAAGGAATGAAGGTAAAATGAAATATATTTTCTATTCTTAATTGATCTAGTTGATAAAAGTTTGTTGAAAATAATAATAGTAACAATGTATTTGGTTATTATAGCTTATGGATAACTGAAATGAATGACAGCAATGTTATAAGGGCCGGGAGGGAGGAATTGGGAACAGCCTGTTATAAGGCACTTGCATTACCCATGAAACAGAACAGTGTTATTTGAAAATGGAATTAGATTAGTTGTAAATGTATATTGCAAACTCTAGGGTAACCACGAAAAAGTTTTTCTTTTGATCTTTTTTAAAAATAATTTTTTTTTTTTATGTTTCAACTACAGTTGACATATAATATTTTATTAGTTTCAGGAGTATAACATAGTGATTTGACATTTATATAACTTAGAAAGTGATCAACCTGATAAGTCTAATGCCCATCTGACACCATATATAGTTATTACAACATTATTGACTATTTTCCCTATGCTGTACTTTACATCCCTGTGGCTAATTTTATAACTGGAAAATTTGTTCATCATAATCCCCCCCCCATGNGACATAGAAACATCAGTGATGAGAGTCATTGATCCGCTGCCTCCTGCACGCCCCTGACTGGGGATCAGGCCCAGGACCCCGGCATGTGCCCTGACGGGGAATCAAACCTCCATCTCCTGGATCCTAGGTTGATGCTCAACCGCTGGGCCACTAGGCCTCAGCCCATGTTTTAGTCAGATTGTTTGTTTTGGTATTAATTTGTATGAGTTCTTTATAAATTTTGAATATTAAGCCTTTATCATATATTAAGCCTTTACCACACAGAGGTATCATCAGGAGAATATCTTCTCCCAATCTGTAGGCTGTCTGTTTCTTGTTATTGGTGGTTTGCTTTACCAGTGCTCTTTACCCAATTGCTACAAATTCCTTGCAATACCTGGTCCTTCTGTAAATTAGAGCTTGGCCACCAGTGGGTGGTTTAAAAGTACCAAAAACGGCTTTGTAAGTAGCCGACAAGGCTGCCTTTCAGGTCTAAAGTTGCCGGATGGTGCCCTGGGTCACGCTCCACGCCTGTAAAGCATTGGTTTTCCGCCCTTCTCATCTCATGGCACATAAACTAATTACTACAATTCTGCAGCGCACCAAAATATATATTTATATTTTTTGCAGATCTGACAAAAAGTAAGTGTAATTGCGATTGTGTTGGCTGTTGTCACTTTTTAGTTTGACAATCAAAGGAAAAAGGTTAGTGCCCTAACGAAACAGGTACCGCACGTTCTTAAAGAGTTTTCAGCGCGGGTTGAGACTCGCCGCCCTGAAGCCCGGCGTGGAGGCTACGAGAGCGCAAGCTCGGGGCTGCAGCCGGTCGTGGGTCCGAGGAGAGAGGTAACCGCGAGGCAGCCGCTGCTGCGGAG